ACTGCTATTTTTTTGAACACACCCCTTTCAACTAATTGCCCAATTGCACAGCCTTAAGAGCGTGCATATCATGAATGCTGGGTCTTGTTTGCTTTCTGAGAATCTACTGCACCTACTGGTAACTTGTTTGCCATGTAGCAATAAAAAATATACTAAAAACCTGGGTTATTCTGGTTAGTCACATTGTACTGCTATTATTTTGAACAATACTGTATAGTATCATAGAGCTATATATAACACATTGGCCTCCTGTTGCACCATTGCTTCCACTTCACATTAAGTTATATGTTTCCTTCTTTGCTAATATATTGGTGAATTTTCTGAATTAAGTGTCTAATAGTGTTTGTGTGCACTTGACCTTTGACACTGAGACATAGAGAAGTTAAAATGTGACTTCCCCTATAGCACAAATGAGGCTGGCACTAGGGATCTGGTTGAAATGTCATGCTAAGTCATCTGGTGACCCCAGCCCCCTGTCGCATCATGCACCACGGTCTCTGCCTCAGCCACTGCTGCTGGGGTCTTCATAGTGACAAGTAGGGCACTGGGAGATCAGAGGAAATATTGCTCACTACTTTAAAACTCAAGGTGTAGATGTGCTCCACTAAAATGGCTGCACTACATATTCATGAAGCACCTCATTCAGATGTCTCTTTTGCAGCAGTCTGTGTTCTTCTGTGTATGCCACAAACCAACTCACAACATCTTCATATAAAGGAATTAAAGCATGTGAGTATAATGAGTAATACTTTCATGAAAAGTAAAAAAATAATGCAGACAAGTGTAATCAGATCCTTCATTATTCAACTGAGCATTCACACTTCTGTCAGAGATCATCACCTTTTAGTATTAACATGTTAATATTACTGGAGCAGTCATAATGGAATTTTAATTCAAGACTCAAAATCACAGTAGGTATTGAGGTGGTAAGACCATAGCCAGGTCTTACAATGGAGATTCATATGAAAATCTCTGCGCTCACTGTCTGGTTACTGGTTCAAGAGTGACCTCTAGAGGAGATGTACTGGTATGCTACTCTAAATGTTTGCTTCGGGTTAGGTTAGGAACTATGTTGTGTTGTTGGCTTCACTGCAGCTAAAAAAACAGCACAATACATGGTCACAAACACTACAAAGACAACAACAGGTTCAAGTGGCAGCACTAGACATTTAAAATTAGAGTGCTATAAAATGAGCCTGTGTTTCATTCTAAAACTATTATTTCAGATAAAAATACCAGTTTAACACAAAATAGAAAGGGGGAGGCATATCATTGTTAACACTGATTTAAAAGCTCAGTATTAACAAAATGCAACCGATTACATCCTCCAGCTTGTTAGAACATAACATAGCCAACAGATGCAGTTATTATGTAGGGAGGGAACTGGAAACCTAAAAATATGGTCTTTCTTATCACCATATTTCAAATTACTATCTAAAAAAACAGCGATAGCCTGATCTGACACCTCCCGAAAAATGTATTTTATTTTAAGAGGTGTAAATGTGTAGTGCTTGTTTTGGTTTACAGAGGTGTAAGCATATATTTTATCTAACTTCTAACATAAGTGATAAATCGCTCCATGCAGGCTTGGGTACAGGAGAGCAAAAACTCTTGCCTCTTCCTTTTAGTGGGGATCTGGGGCTCGTTCGTCTTCATTCATCGCCGTCATCCTCCTCACACCTTTCTGTCATAGCTCACAGCTCCATATATATAACCGGCTACATTGTTCTGCTCCTCCACATCTAAACTCACTTAATCTGGCCCGCACAGTCAGGCGAATGAAGACAAATGTCTCAATCTGTAATCCTTACTGTCGCATACTATCTACAGTAGATGTATCACACACAGGAAGGGGCTTTGCTCTTTGTCTGCAGAAGCATGTGAGTGTATGTGTGCAACAAATTAAAAGGAGCCAGGGTAAAACAACCAAGATACATTTAATATTGTTTCTCTTTTGGGCAATGCAAGTTACAATGTAAACATGTACAAGATACAAAAAAGGGACTTGTCAAATGAAAATGTAGCTAACAAAATGACCTGTTTTCCAAAGGAATTCACATGTGCAAAACGTGTCCAATCAGAAGGAAACCGGAGTAGATTTCTGTCCATTAGTGCACCTGTGTGTAGTGTGGAGGTGCTGTGAACAGTGTGGTCACATGACTCATCACTGAATGACTCAGTGACATTTACAGGCTCCTCCAGGCACATCTTCTGAAACAAGGGTTAACCATAACTTGCATAACGATGCTAATAAAAAAGGAAAAGAAAATGAAAATATAGCACCTCCTTTGGTCCAAACCGGGGCCTGTAGTTGTTATTATGTTTGTTAGTGTGGCTTTCATGCTGGTAACGGATCGTTTTTATCAGAATTTACAGATCAAGTGCTTGATGGCATCGGGCTTCCAAGTCTTTTTTTTTTTCTTTTTTTGGCACACTGCTTTCCACAGCAGGGTGGTGACAAATCTTATTCTATAAATACAACATCCAGGCTAAAAACAAGCTCTACCTTCCCATGAATCATGAATCCACCTCAGCTGTCACTCAACATCTATCACTTCTGACATCTCCCCTCCTCCACAACAGCATGGCTGCGTTCCGACCATGGCAGCAGCCACGCTGTTCTTCGTTAGAAAGCTGTTAGCACTGGAATACTGGCTGGCTGGCTGAGGTTAATTAAGACACACTGTTGTGCTAATTAGAAACGGGGGAGCCAAAGACAGACAAAGGAAAGCGCCACGGAAACACGGCAGCGCGCGTCGTTCCTCGACACAGCCTCCTCTCCGGAGCTCGGAGACGGCTCCCGCTGATGCCAAACAACTGTGCTTCTGTGAGGAAGTTCTCCGAATGACATAAATAATCAGCATTCGCAGGCCTCAGAGGTTGTTTTTTTTTTTAACCCAACTGCTTGAGAAAAAGACCTGCAGCTGCGCTTGTTCTTTTCTTTCTTTTCTCTTGCACAAAAACGAGACATTAATTAAAAACCTACCAAATCATCCCCCTAAGTATCTCCCACCAGCTCCCACACACTTGCTAAAACCTTCCTACCAAACCTGCCCCTTCTGTCAAACAACTGCCTTTATTAACTCAGCAATCACTCTATTCCAGAGCTGGATGCTGTTGTGCTTTTGATTTCATTCTTGTTTCAATTAGATGTGAATAAACCCTTCAAATCCTTACACTTTTACAAGAATCAGTTATTTTCTTCACAAAAACAAGAATGAATAAAGCAAAAAGAGACAAGAAATCCACTATTTGAAGACTTTTTTTCTGATTCAAAAATCTTTTTTCCAACACCCAGCTCAGATTTCACACCCAGGGCTACATAAGATCTGAAGACAGTAAAAGAAGCTGAAATCTGATGCAGGATCAGTTCTAAAGCTCCTCCATGGACTGAGAGTGAGGCTGAGAGAAGCTGCTGGAGTGTGAAACCCGTCTGTCTCTGTCTTACAGTTTTCTTGTGATGCAGCTTCAAAAACTTCAAGTGCTGCAATTAACACGTTGGAGAAGTGGGCTTTCACAGCTCAGGCTTCCAAGCAGAGAGCTCTTTAGGTCTCATTAGCTTTTAGAAAGGTGGGTGAGGGAGGTTTGACAAAATGGGCTCACTGTTGGAAGGGCTTATTTTTCAGAGTGGAGACAGTGCCTGCCGACCTTTCATCTCCCTCCTGTCAGAGCACAGCTCCTCTCACCTCAGAGTCCACTATCTGATTCATCCTGCATCCTGCTCTCACAACTCTCATCCTTGACCTCTAGCTTGTCTTCTCTTCCACCTGCAAACAATCCATCTCACCATGCACAAACACGCATGCATGTAAACACTCCCCACCCAAACCCTCCTATAGATGTCTCAGTCAATTTGCCGGCTGTGTCGAGGAAAGACATCGATTTATGTGGCAAAGGAACAGAAATAGGAGGAATGGGAGGAGGAATGTGCTATGGTACCAGCTCTAGTGTTTGGGAATACAGAGCTTAAGGTGCTTCAGCCTGAAAGGTGCAGTCCATTTTTAAAATAAAAGAAAGAGTAGAATAAAACAGGAAGTCAAAGCAGCAGCGCTGTATCACCTTTGGCAAGCTGTCCGGAAATGCACACATTTCCTCTGGCGTGAATGACTCCTCGATCATCATGAGTCTGTGTTGGCATGTGCTCACATGCTCAGTTGTGCAGGTGGAAAGCTAAACTCAAACCCCAGCCAGTTTCTTTTCCATTCTGTTGTGCAGATGCATAGGTCTGACAGCAGTGTGTCTGAGAAAGACTACACTGGTCGGCCATGTTTGAAATGTGAAGCTTAAAAAAATAATCAGATGTTTTGGGAAATAACCTTGTTGGCTTTGTTGCAGAGAGTTTGGCGAGAAAATTGATACCATCCTCATATTTCTGTGCTGATGAAGCTAGAGCCAGGAGACTGACACCAGGAGAACCACATTCAACTCCTAATAATAACTTTAACCAAGAGTCATGAGAGTGGTATCAACCTTTGCATTTCAACTCTGGGCAAGAAAGTGAACACAGGTATATTCCAAAATATTGAACTACTCTTTTAAGGTGGAATTTATCTATGAAAACAGAAGGATTTATGGACAACAAGACAGGGAGCTCTGTGTATTGGCCTGTACACACAGCAACTCTTTAGCACAATGATGTGTTCGGCTGTACAGTAGCACATCAATAAGGCCTCCCTGGGGCTCAGCAAGGAGAAGAACAAAGTTTTTTTTTTCTATTTTTGGCGAACATTCTAGAAGTTGATGAACTGAAGTGAAATGGCCTGAAGGTGCGTTCATCTGCCCGGTCTCTTGTTTACCGTCGAGACTCTCCCCATTGATGTCTGTTTGCTCACCACTGCAGACAGCTCTGAATATCACCTTCGTCATGGAGACCGGAGAGGAAAAAGTCTCATTTGGTTTGACAATGACGGGGTAAATGTCAAGAGAGGCATCTGCGTAGGTGGAGAGAGGGCACACTCCAGAGGGGGAACAAACAGGAGAAGAAAACAACAACACAAAAACAAGAAACTATCAAAATTCCATTCAGGCACGAACGTGACAGTTCAGAGCAGGGACACTGAGGCCCCCGATGAAGGGCCCATAATTCTCCATGTGTAAAGAAGACCCCAGATGGCTGTAATGTCAATACAGGATGGGTCAGTGGGTTTCTGCCATGCCATTTACAAATCAGTGTCCACTGCTGATCCAGGGCAGGAGGAGCAGAGAATCTGATCTTCATCATTAGAAAGTCCATCATGTCAGGACATAATGAGGTGTCACATGAGACTGCTTTGGTCCAGTGACTTTTCTGATGATTTCAGCCTCACGCATCTGCTCTTTAACTTAATTATGACTTTAAATGTGGCAGCTCAACCAGGAACGTCTACACTACCATCAGATGTAATTGTTTTACTAGACCTGTGATATTCTTCCTATTCTTGAAACATTAAGTGTTTTTTCTTTTTATCTATTGCACATTTCCTCACAGGTACACTTCAGAATTGAACAAAACAGGGTATAAAAATGAAAAAAAAAGAGCATACAATAAAAGCCTGACTAGACATAGATGCTACACAGCTAAATGTATGCTCGACACACAACCATTCTTTTGCGGGTGAATTCTTTTCAAACAAAGCGATATGCAATAATATGATGTGCTGGAGCACAATGGTAAAAGTGATTCAACACATTTACATAATGCCTTCGTCTTGATGGGAAGGGGCAAATATCAGCATCCTAGCTGTTTATGTTATTATTTATATGTCTGATATGGTTAGACCTTTTAAAATAAATGCAAAAACCTCACATACTTGACTAAATTATAATGTTTTTGTTGAGTGCTGAGTTGGCATTTTGCATATTACTGAAGCCCAATTTCTGTAAGAATTACAATCTGTATAATACTATACAGATTATTATTGTTACAGTAATATAGAGAAATATTTTGAATGGGGTAGCAAAGATCATCCAACTGTTATAACACAGAAAACTACTCATAATAAATACTTTAAATCAGGCATTATGTAAGACAATAAAGATGAAGGAAGTGCCCGTGATTTGCTAAAGTTGCAGCACACAGCATAGAGGAAAAAAGGACCTTTTGAAATTTTCAGTAAAATAAATTATTGCCCAATACAAACCATGTACTACAAAAATATTTTTAGCTGCACTCAGATAAAAAAGAGAAAAAAGAATCTGTACAGTTCTGGGGGAGACTCACTGACCAGCAGTGCATTTCTTATTGCACTGAGGTAAGATTGCTGATACACAAGCTGTGTGGATCTTTAAAAATCATGTTGTAGTACCTTTGACCTGCCACACGAGGTCTCTGGTTCTCTACTGCTACGCATAGACTGGCATGTTTACAGTAGAGAACTCAGAGCTCCTCCTCTCATTTGAGATGAGGAAAAAACCAATAGAGACATTTAAATAATATTAAAAAATGTATTCAATAAATAAATGCTGAGTATTTACTGCATCTTTGCATTAATGCACCATAAAAACAATTTTAAGGTGCACTAATTCACAAAACAGAACCACTTCGTTCCTCATTATTGTTACTGTGTGATCACAGAGTAACAAATAAACACACAAAAAACAAATATGGTTTTGCTAAATTAGATAAAGTAGCAGGTACTGTACTTTGTTTAATAATATGATACTGTCCAGCAGAAACATAACAAAAAGGTAGTGTTCAGCCTCAGACTGAGAGCTCCCACTGCGTGTTAGAAAATGTATTTCAGCAGTCTTGAACATCAGCCGTGTTAATTTTTAAAGTTGGATTTAGTTCAGAATTTCAAATTGGTGTAACTTCTGCACTAGGGGAGAATTATTTGATATTTTTTAGGTGATTGCTAAGTTTTATTTATTTGATTTTAAACTGTGGGATCAGTAAGTCAACTTTCATTAAACTATGTTGTCTATTTCGTATCAAAAGCAATACTGCACAGCAATATCAAATACAGTTGATCAGTCTTTGAGAAGTATCAAGTGCTTCTGGGTACTGAACCTTGTTTTTCAGTTCAGAAACCACACTTTAGGCATTTGGTTTGTACCATAAATAAATAGTAATAATAATAAAACTTGGCCAATGAAATGGTATTTCTCTTTGTTGTGTACACACTGGGCTAAACTTTATGCAAATATGTCCCTGGGATTCCAATTTTTCACTGCATTTCCAGTACTTATTTAATACAACTCCACAAATAGCAGTGTCATTATATGAATACAAAATATATATACAAAATCAATTGTTCCTGGAATTAAAACACCACAGTAAACCTAACTCTTTGTAAACTAATCATTTTCATTTGTTGAGGTTATTAGCTATCCAGATCTGAGGTGGTGTTGTTCCGGAGGGCACTCAAGTTGTTCCTTTGATTTTCCAGGACACTAAGATATCCAAGTGTTATCTTCAAGTTTCACAGGTTTTTATATCTCAGCTAGTTACATCTGGGATTAAAAAGATTCATCTTAATACATTTTTGTGGGGCCTGGGGTTCCATGACAAAACTAAGCCAATTTATCCAACTGGAGCACCTACTGTATGTTTTGCCAGTATCACTTCAGATTGTACAAGACGTAAGGCAAGAGCTTAACTTGTCCAACTGTGGGCTGTTGGTGGAAAACAGATGTCACAAGAAAGCAGAAATAATTCTCTAAGAAAAGACTTGCATCAACACAAGACATTATAATGAACAACAAACGAAATAAAAATACTGATAATGAGATTTTCGTGTTGTTCTGTTGATGACATCTCATCACCTGGGTCCTTCACGTCTCTGTTTTTCTTTCTTTAATCTGTGTATTGGACCCAACAGAGCGGTCTACATTAAAACGCTGCACTTTGTTTGCACTCTGTAGTGGAGCTCTTACTTAGTTATGGAAATGCTCTTGGTGGTGTTCAAAGGCCTATGGCACTCTTAAAAGATTTGGTTGATTTAATGTTTTGCAATCCACCATTTAGGACCTCCATTCAGGTGATCAATCACAAAAGGCACTCATTGGCCATCATAGTCAGTGAAGGGCAGGAATAAGCATAGCCATTACCCTGCTCAGCTTCTGTATTACATAATGCAGGCCTCTTTAAGGGGTTAGCACTCCCATTCATACCATTTTAGATCTCAAAGATGCAGTCCACTAATTTCCTCACCAGTTCCATGTTTCGGTCTCATATTTCCAGCCAAAATGTTTCAAATCTTTACACTCCACCTTGTATCCATTTTAGTAAACCAGCACTAAAAGTGTCCTTCCTTGTCAGATTAACTCATCCTTCTTTTTAGACATAACCTTTTCATAGATGTATATTTTCAAGGACATATTGCTTACAGGAGACTGCGGGTAACATTCTTAAGGAGTGATGCCACCCACGCTCTTGGACATCGAAAGGGGAAGTTGGGGTGAAGGGGAGGGGAAGAATGTGGGGTTAGTTCTATTTTTTCCGCTCTAAGTAGTTGGAGGGGACCCAGCCCTTGCGGGGAAGCAGGCTGTCCTGCACTTGGCAGTACCACCATCCATTGGGATTTCTCTCCAGTACCTCAAGACAGGTGCCCTCAGTAAAACCCATGGTCTCTTCATCACCACGATAATCAGCGATAGACACATACACATCCCTGCCAAGGTTATTGTGGATCATTTGGCTCTTCTCTATGGGCTTGGGCCGGACTGTGGACACAGGGATGCCGTTGCGTTGGTTAACTCTACTAAGGGTGTCCTGGACGTTACTTGTGCTGAATGCGCTCCCTGACAACCCCAGGCTCGAGCGCTCGGCAGGCCTCGTTTGACTTTCAACAACAACATGTGGCCGCACAGTGCTGAAGGAGGCATTTCGGCGGACGCCAAGCGTGGCAGACCCAGAACCATAGTGATCACTTCTACCGAGTGATTCGTTTCGCCTCAGAGACCCTGTCAGGTAGTGCACATCCTTAGCTGGCTGTGTTGTGGTCACAAATACAGACTGAGGCCTCACTGCCACCTGGCGTACTCCGTTCCTCATTCGCACACCTCCGTTAACCATCCCAGTTGGCTTTGAGAAGCCACCTGGCGGCTTGGAAGGAATTGGTGGGGTGTTCCTCCTCAGGCCTTGATGCTGCTGAGTCAGACCCTGAATATTAATGCTATTGAGGGCCAAAACATGTTGTTCATTTTTCTCCAGACTGTTGGACTTACTCCCAATGCTCCCTTGTCCATCTAATTCCAGGCCACCAGCATCACCCACTTGTCTGATAGGTTCTAAATAGTACGAGGGTGCCCAGCCCTCCTCAGAGCCCCAGCGGATGTACCACCAACCGCTCTCCTGTTTCTCCAGAACCTCAACCTCCACCCCAGCTGGGAAGCTAACCTCAGAGTCCTGGACCTTCTTGTAGGCATCCAGGGAGCGGTAAAGACTGGAGCCTTCCACGTCTGAGTCACCACGGCTTCCTTTAGAGTAAACAGAGGACAGATCTGAGGTGCTTCTTGAACACATTGAGTCCTCTGATGAGATAACAGAAGCCGTTTCAGAGTCATCCCCACGGGAAGGTTTGAGTCCATGTCGAAACTGACTTGTGGGCCTCAGCTGCCGTCTCAAAGAGCTGATGTCCATCCTTTCAGGACTTTGAGGCTCTGATTTGGTCAGGAGTGGTTTAGGTCTGACAGAAGGCTTGGGCCTGGTGGAGGGGCTTTGACCTATTCTCTGCTCCACATCCTGTGTGAAGGCAGGGCTTTTCTTTGGGCCTCTGGTCAATTCATCTGATGAAGAGTGGGGACTGCTGTCCTGGGACCTGAGGCTGATATCTGTGTGTCTGCCGAGGGTCTGACTTCTCTGATTCATCTCTGGAGTCACAGTCTTGATGGGCCTACCAGTTAAAGGTGAGGATCCAGAGGGTTTTCGTGGGACCGTGGAGGAGTGGTAGCTTCTGGGGGAGTTGGGTTCACTAGAAACTTTGGTTGAGGTTCCATTAGGGCCACTGCTTTGCACAAAGCCATCATTCTCATAGATACAATCTTCTTTAGCAGCCTCCTCTACAGACCTGAAGGAGGCTCTTCGATGAGTGAACACAGGGGATGCCTTACAGACAGGAGGGGAGGCTTTGCAGGAAGGAGGGGAGCTGCGGTACTTGTCGCTGACCATGCTGATGAGCTTCACATCCAGGGGGCGTTCACTCTTCAGAGAATCTGTGTCAGACTCACCTTCGCATCCAATTGCAGGAACATCATATTCAGGTTCCTCGTACACAGGCCTGCTAGGTGGCTCTGAAACTTTGGAGGCAGAGTTAGCAGGGGGAGGAGGAGTCTCCTCAGAGTCTTGTTTTTTGACAGGTGGAGCTGGAGGTGGGACTTTGGGCCGGGTCAGGGTGCTGGTACGACGGCTTAGGTTGGGTTTCTTGCGTTTGTCAATATAGGAGCAGGGGGCCCAGCCCTCCATCTCTCCAATCTGCACATACCACCAGCCTCCAGGGTTCTTCTCTATCACCTATACAAGGAGATAAAATCTATTTAAAAGATAAAATCGATAAAAAGGAATACTGTATTTTGAAACATCTGTCAAAGACTGACATGTGTTAGAGTGAGGGTTAGAGGATTAGACAATCAAAGACATGCTGAATCACAGCAGTATATAACAAAATGAAAATTCTTATTATTGATTTTACAGTTCTCTTGAACTAACATTAATGGTGAAGGTTAAAACACTGTCTGTAAGTGTCAGCTCAACATATCACATAAAAAACCTTGAAGGAATCTATGTTATCTTCTCTCTACCTGACGCTTTGCAGAGAAAATTGTGGCTACATCATGTTCAAACACAAATCTCAAGGTCGTATTTCTATTGCCTCAGCTCTTGTATCTATCTGGAGAACGTGTACTCAGTGAGTCCTGACTGTCTTATCTCAGTGACAACAATGTCGATCCAGCCTCTTACATCAGCCTTTTGTCCTCCACGGAAACTGATGCCATCAGAGATTGAAGACTGGAAATCAGCTATGGTGTAATACTCTGCTTCCACAGCAGGGGGCTCTGGTGGCTTGGGTAACTGGAATCCCTGGACAGCAAAAAGAGAGATGCCAACAGATGACATCATATTCAGTCATCATTACATTATCTCTGCCTATGACTAAAGACAATAAGAATAATTTATGACTGCATATGATATAACATACCATAATATGTTTAATTTTTAAGTATGTATAGTAAAGAAATTCAGATGATCATAGACAAGCTAAAGCTTTTAATGTGCTTTAATAGTTGCTATGCCAACTCTTGCAGTAATCTGGGAGCTACTTTCTTTAATAATCTTTCTTTTTATGTTACTATTCTTATTTACTGTCTTTATACTCGCTTTGGGAATCTTGTTAAATGTCTTACCAAGTTGGTTTCTCTTCTTGGGGGAGGTTTTTGTCTCAGATTTGGAGAGCCTGATAAACACAATGACATCTTATAGTGTACACATCCTTCATAAGCTAATGTATATGCTATAAAACACAAACTGGCCATTTATATTTAATATGTGAGTAAAATAGAAATCCACACAAAAACATTTTAAAATTCTGTTAAATAGCCTCTCGGGTTAGTGTGATAAGTAGGCTATATGTTATTGATAACACCACCACCACCATTACACCACCAGCCAGGTAGCTTACCAATAGCATCAAAACCTACACAAGAGGAAAATGACATCTTAATGTCTCATAAAAAGACTACAAATTCACTGCTCCATTCACCATTATAAAAATCTCAGCTGTCTTTTCTGACACACCACAAACACTCACCAATTTCCACTCTATGCGGTGCCACTCTTGCAACAGCTGGGGACCCTGGTTCACTTCTGCCTTTACTTTCATTTAGGGCAGTGCTTGCTGCTATTCCTAGACATGGACTGTTGGTGTCACGGCCCGCGCTCAGCCTCCTGCCTGTCTCTGCATTTATTTCAGAGTTATAGGGCATGGGGAGGCTGATCTCACTCTTGGAGATGTGGCGCTCTGGTGTGGTGCTCCCCTCTCCGTCTGTCTGGATGTCCTTCTCACTGACCGACTTCTTCTGCAGCAGGTTGCTGATCTCCATGATGTTGCCAATTATCTCCACGGGGCCTGTCAGATTCTTCTTACGAGGGGAAAAGTCATCTTTTAGCTTTTTCAAGTAGGAGGCAGGGGCCCAGCCTTCTTTCCATGGCTTGCTGCATTCATACCTGTTTTCTAGCATTTAAAGGAGTATTGCACCAATTTACAAATGAAAGTCTGTTTTACCCTGAGCATGTCATCAGGATTATCTTGAGAATGAAAATGTATAAAGCCTGAATTATAATCTGGGTGTATGAAGTTTGAAAGCTTGTGTGAGCATTTAAAAAATAAATAAAAACAAATTATGGTATTGGCTAGGAAATGTAGCCAAACATGTAGCTAAACATCTGGGCATCTTGGTTTAGTGATTTTGACCATTGTTTTTTTTTTTTTTTTTACAATTTTAAAAAATTATTTTGTGTTTTTTTCAGTTGGAATCACTGGAGTCTTCCTTTAAGACCACACACTAAACTTAGTGGAACCATAATCTATACTTTATGATACTCAAACAACAGAAAATTTGACCAATTTCTTGCATGAAAGTATGTAAAGTAAGATCTTGTGTACTGAGTAGACACTATTCTAATTCTATGGACACAGTAGCCAAAGGCAAGTAAACAGATTGCATAATATATGCAAAGAGACACTGCTTCCACACATTTCTACAGTACTTTGATTGTTATGTTCAATTAATCATTTTAGAGTGTTTGGTGAAATTCCGAGTCATTTGACTTCTGCTCAATAGCAACATGATCATCCCATGTCTGCAACTACCACCACAGAGTCCCCATAACTACAAAAAGCCTTTGACTGTATGCTTGTATATATCAGCATGAAAACTTTTAATAAGTTTATGCATGAGCATAGGAGATGCTACAAGGCAGCATGTTATAGTCAACAGCTGTGCAGTGGAGCTCCACTCTTATGTCCCTGGGGATACAAAGAAACAAAGGACTGGCAGGAAATACACCCTGGATGGGTAAACAACACACATGTGTGCATATATGCAGAGAAACACACACTTAGAGTTAAAAAAAAAATCCCAGGCAGAACACCCAGCTGATCTGTGGAGAGTGCCATGTGTTCATGGATTCTTCTCAATGCCATTAGGCAAATCAAAGCAGCAGGAAACCACTGCCTTCATCACAGCACTATGCAATCCCTCCCATGAACAACATCACCGATCTCTGAGGACTCATTCGTTTTGAGAATGGATGAAGTTGAAGAGATTCCATTTCCCATCAGTCTCTATGTGTAGACATGAGACTGATGCTCCTGCCGTTAACTCCTGAGTGTTTACTCACCTGATGTACCACCAGCCTTCCAGGTTCTTTTGGATGACCTCCACAGTGACCCCTTTCTCAAAGCTGACTTCATCCTTTCCTTGACTGGTATATGGCTGTACAGTAACATATTTCTCTTCTGGAAATTCAGATGAGTAAAGGAAAGAGAAAAAGAGACAAAGTGAGTGAAATAATATCATTAAATAGTCTCACATTGAAGGGTTACACTACTGTGTAGTTTCCCAGAGGGCCTTATGAAGGAAAAAATAGTGAGTGTGACCTACTTAAAATGCTCTGACTATTTCCAAACCAACACAAGCACAAGCCACCCCCCACCCCCTGTCCTACACAATAATAACAAACAGTTCCCTCTACTGGCTCAACCTCTCACCCTTGCTGTCAGTTTCTTATCCACATTAGGCCTCATTCAAGCTAATTGGATTCTGATCCAGTATTTGTCTCTCTCTCCAGAGGACAACTCTTCTTCTAGCAGAAGGCCTACATCAGGGTCTGGATCAAGGCCTTCCCTTGAGGAGATAAGATATTTGGACCAAGAACTAATTTCTCAGATCCCTATCTGACTGGCACTCCTCTCTCACGCTCTGC